AAGATGGGTCTGCTGAGCCCGCATTAGACTAATGCATCTTCTTGGGGACAGGAAGATCTTTTCTTTGTGTTTACTTGGACCAACTGATTAAGTGTTGGTCCTGTTTAAAGTAGGAGAGCGGTTAAGGTACCTGCAGGCTTTCCATTCAGCCCTGCTTTTTTGTTCAGTTCTGTATTTTACAAGGCTCATTCATCCCTTTTGCACCAGAAATTAACCTTCATTTTGTCTGATCATTTCCATCCTCCTTGAATTCATTGCCATACTGGTTTTATCACTCCAATAAGTTTGCTTTGAGCAACTGAACTGACAGGCTTCCTTTGAGAGAGAATGAGGGGTCTGGGGACACTTCTGCTGTGCAAGGAAGTGCTTTGCTGCCTGGAAGAGTTAATTTTTTGGATTTTTCTTTCCAGGATGCACTAGTACCAGAAGAATGGAAGAAATGGGGAAAAACAAAGCAAATGCCTTCAGAACAGAAGTGAATAAATAACTGAAAGACCAGAAGAAGGAAGGCAGAAGCAGATTTTTTTTATATATTAAGTCAAAAGGGTGCCAGTTGTACTTTTTGAAAAATCTGATTTTCATCGTTGTATTCATGCTACTTAAGTGCTTTTCATATGAATCCAGAAAATCCTTTCTCCCCTGGATCCTCCCCCCTTTTTCTCCCAGGACATTTGAATTTCCTTTAGAAAAAGAGGAAAAAGAAAATACAGTTTTGCCTTTCCCCAGATGCCCCCTCCTCATCCTAAATGATTTGTGAATAAAGAGGAAAGAACGGTTCTGAATTTTGTTTTTTGGCTGTCTCAGAGGCTCTGATTGGAAGTGGGGCGCACATGAGTATGAAAAGAGCTTTTTCTGGTGGGTAATTTTGTGTATGAATCATTGCTGTGTGAAGCTTCCTGTTCTTTCATGTCCGTTCCCAGAGGGACATGTTCACTGGGGGGGACTTCCCACTCCTGCTTGTCCCTTGGGTGACGCTGTCATCTGCATTTCTCTGCTAATGGCTATTCTCTCTGACTCAGGATGGCGCTGGGCTGGGCTGTGCTGAGTTGCTGTGGGCCCTCAGGGCTCAGGCAGGAGGAGTCCTCAGGGCCTGGCCCTCGCCGGGACCCAGCTGCAGTGCTGGCTCTGTCTGGCCCTGACAGATTTGGTGGGTTCGTTTGGTGGGTTCGCTTTCTTTCCAGCCTCTGAAAGTACCCTTTTCACTCCAAATACTTTGATTGAGCTTATTGTCTCTGTTCTTCTATGAAACCAAAAGCCAGGAGTCTGCTGCTTGCCATTTGGCCATGTTTGAGTTATTTGAGCTCTAACTTCTCAATTAATTACTACCTTCAAGACCACTAAGTAGTGTTGAGGCAGCAGACTTGGGCTTTACTGAAAGACACGATGATAGTAATAACGAAAGGCCAAAATCTCCTCCTGATGAGCAGTTTCCACATGGGGGATTTAACAGTTGCTCCCTGCCTTGCATCTCTGTGTTGGCTCCTGTTTGTCCCATGTCAGACTAGTTTCTTTAAAGGCCTTTTGGCAAAGGAACTTTTTCAAATGTCTTTTGGAGATGCCAGAAAATGATATCAACCAGCAGGCATGTGGATAAAGGGTGTGGAGCCGAATCCTCCAAAGAACCTCATATGTGTGAGACATGACTCCACTTTATAAAAGCCATCTTGCCTCTTCCCCACTGCAGTTGTTCACACTTAGCTCACTGTGTATGTTCTTTGTAATAGTTCCTAGCCAGTTGTTCATTGTGAACATTATACTGGACGCCACAGAGTTTTAATGAACTCCTTTAACCTCCTCTGCATTCCTTCAAAAACCCGATCTCATGCTGCACTAAAGTCCTCTGGGACTAAAGCAGTTTTAAGCAAGAAATAGTTAAGCTAGTATTTGTAGTATTTTACCCTGGAGTTCGTTTTCACCCTGGTGAGTTCTTTTTGAGCCTCATATTTTGTTACTGCTCACTTACCAGCTTTGTTTTATAACCAATTTTTTCTACTGATGCCTCGTGCTAGGATGGTACTTTCCCTGTGCCTGTAGAGCTCTGGCATGTTATCCAAGGAGAGCACAGATGCAAAAAGAAAATCATGGAGTACTACTAGTGTGATGTATCTTGTCTAAGCTGTGTGTGTTGCTGTTGATTTTTCTGCCTCCTTGGCTATGCGTTAGGAAATGCTTTTATTCTTTTGCCTTTTAGTCCTCAGACATTTCTGGTTTGCTTTATTTCTTTTTGTATTTGATGTCCCATTTTGAGCATTTGTTTCTTCATTGTGATGCAAACTGAACATTGAAAGTAGTCCCTTTTATTCCAAATAGCTGCACTCACCCCGCTGTTTAATCATAAAGACTTAGGTCTTTCCAAAGTGTTTCTAATAGGTCTTTTGATTTTATTTAAAGTATCCAATCTAGTGTTTGCATATAGCTTTTATGCCACTTAACAGGATTTTTTTTTTTTGTCAGCGTGTTTACTTACTGCTCTAGGAAGCTGCTTCTTTTGTACAATTCTTTTCCGTGGACCAGGTAAGTCCTAATGACTTCAAGTGTGTTAGTTGTTACAGAACAGATTTACAAACACATTTTGACCCAGGCCTCCTCAGGTTGTTTTTTCTTTTGTGGGATCTCTGACCAGCTGTACTGTGAAGCAGAAGGGTGGCTGCGGTCTCACTGTGACAGCTGCCTGCCTGCCGAAGGGTAACGGATTACCCATTAGTGCATGTGCTACTGTCACAGCTTCACTCATCACCCTCAGCATCCCCTCGTTGCTTCCCATCCTGCTAGGCAGTTAGTAATTTCATAGTGCTAGGATTGTAAAGTGGGAACAGAGAGAATGTAATCTATAGGGATTAGGTGCAAGTATAAACTCAGGCTCCAGCATGGATGGAAATGCTGTCTTAAAACATGGTCCCCTGAGGAAAAATGAGATGATATCTACTGCAGACTATCCAGCAATTGTTCAGGTGCAAGGAGGGATGATTTCGAGGCCTTACTGTGTGCTTGCATGCCACTGCATTTCCAACCTGGTCTTGAGTTATACTGGCACTGGACCTGGTGCCTTCATTAGCGCAGCTCCAGGTCATCCTCCGTGCACCTGACTGCTTGTCCACTCTGGGCCCAGAATCAGGAAACTAATGTCTCGACAGACAAAGAGCCATCTTGACCTGCTGTTGGACAGGTTTATTTAGAACAACTTTTATTTCCTGTTCATGATGGGAAAGCAGACCCCATCCTGATGTTATTTACGTTTCTGGAGACATAATTATTACACAAACAATTGGAGAACTGGGGTGACAGGGAAGGAAGTAGCTGTGTGAGAGCACTGGGCTAGTAACACTTCGAAAATATTTACAGTTGTAACCCTAGCCATGGCAGACTGCAGAGCCACTGGATGGCACGTTGAATTTAAACATAGTGACAGCCCAATCTGATGCACAGGGATCTCCTTTAGCTCCTGCAGAACAGAGCTGTGCCTTCAGCTTGTACACCTCAAGGCTCAGCGGTAACCATAGCTGAGCTCTTCACAGTTGTGTTTCGCTGCCAGGGCTCTGTATCAGGGAGCTAGGCAGTAGCAGCAGCCCACAGCGGCGTTTCTAATGCGTGATAGACGTGTGGATTCATGTCTTGCCTCACCCTGATCCTAGCTGCATGTGTGGTGGTGCCATCAGCATCTATTTAGAGGAGGCTGTAATCGGTTTACTAAGATGCCTAAAGGTGCCTTTTGGTGGCCTCATGTTTGTTAATCAGGCCCTCAAACAGAATGATGACTTGGCAGAAATTTTGCTATGCTTTGAGATTTAAAAGCCTTAATTAGTAGACAGTATGTCCCCAGAATTACAAGTGTACTGGTTGTTTTAGTCTTTGTGTGTAAAGCAGCCTGAGGTTAAACCACTGAGGTACTGTTTTTCTGATTCTGTACACAGACCAGTGTTTAGAGAGGGGGGTTAAATTGTAAAGGCCGGGGTAAATTAGTAGTGCATCAGAACTGCATTCCTTTGAACAGATCCGAGGAGGGTATGCATCAGCTTCCAGCTGGTCACATCTGGGAACGTCTTCATGGCTGTGAAGGGCTTACTGTACAGTTAGATCCACGAGCTCTGAATTAGTCTGGACAGAAGCAGGAGGAAAAGAGAATTGTGAGAAAACTTTGTGAGCACACACACAAATTTTTTCATTCTTTGGAGGCTTTTTCTGCTGACGTTATTTGTGGAAAGATAACCACGTCAAGCATGGCAAGAGATGCTGAAATGCCATGCTCTCCCAGCTGAATCCACAGGCACAATTTAGATAAAGTTCTGATCTTTTCTCCCCTCCCCAGCCCCCCTTCTGTTCAGTATGCACACAGGTCTCCACACGCCTTTATATTGCGCTGGCTAGGGTTGGACAGGCTTAATTTCTGTGGGACAGAGGAGTAAGATGATATTTGCTTCAAACAGGACAACTGACGTTTGTCTGAGTGAAGGTATTCTCAAGGGTGGACTGTCAGCTGGCTCCCAGTCCCACAGGGCTGGCAGGATTTAGAGATAATGCAAGTTCCCAGTGACTACTTTCAGGAACGAGGGGTACAGAAGACAGTAAGCGTTCCTCTCCTGTTTGGTGCAGGGAAAACCTGAAATGTCCCAGGGATCTAGAGGCAGGTTCTGCTCCTGGTGGAAGACTTTTGTCTGACTTCAGCCTAGTCTAGACACTTGGGCACACAGTCTCAGGTAGCTTTACAAGACTGCTTCTGGTTGCTGCAAGGCTGTTCCCAGACATCCTTATGCAGCTTCACAAAACACTCATCATCTGTCTGTTCAGACTAACAGGACTTTAGGTACTTGACAAAACTGATTGGTAGCTTTTCCCCCTCAAATTGCAGCAATTTCCCTTTTTCAGGGGCAGCAGTGGGAGTTGTCTTTGCTGAAGGAGAGCCTTCAGACTGCTTGAGCAGTGCAGAAGCAGTGTGTTACGTACAGAATTGAGCAGGGAATGGTACTCACCAGAGCATGGGGAGTTGAAAAAGGGAGAAATATTTACATGAGCTTAGCCAGGGTGCTGGGAAAGCCACCTAGCTGGCTGCTGTTGATGTCCTGAGGCCTGTGAAAGAAAAGGGCAGTGATGGCATAATTGGGATTGAGAGTGAAATTCTTTTTTCCGCTGCTATTTTACTGAATTATGAGGGTGAGAAGACAGCACAATGATGTGCTAGCATGCGTGGTGCAGGCTGGCTCAGGACAGGCCGTTCCTGATGAGCACTCTTACTTGCCCGCACAAGGGCAGAGCTGGGTTATGGGGTCAGTTAGAAGCTTTATTCTTTCTCTGAGTATATCTGAAAGATGATACTTAATCCAGTAGCTTCACATCTGGAAGCCAGACAGCAATAAGGACCTTGTCTTTCTCCTGCGGTGAGCAGATAATGAACTGATTCCCACCTACCTTTGATTCTGCAGAATGGCTCCCAGGAAGTCCCTGAGTTCCATCTGTTGGTGGTAGCGGCTGTCCATCAGGATGCTGTCAGACTGGCGCCTTGTCAGAAATTCGTGCACCCCTTCTCCTGGGCTGCTCTCACTGCTTCTGTTATGTGAGGATGAGAAACATCTTTGTCTCAGAGACGCTTTTTAGTCCCTCACTCAAAGTTTGGCTCAGGCTGAGCAGCACAGCAAGGGAATGTGCTGGGTCTGAGCCTGGGGCCATTCTGCGTCATTTCAGTAAGAAATTGGTCAGCTGTATTTGCTTCTGTGTTAGATGTGGGCCAGCTCTGATCCCTCTCCTGACTAGTTGTTCTTTAGTGGCAGCGACTGATCTATCTACCCACAGCTACCCAAGCAGTAGTGATGAGGCCGTTTTCTGTGTTCAACCCATACCAAGAATAACTGTTTCCTACCAGTGAATGATCATTGCAAGTATTATTTGCAAATAATATTGCTTGTTATTATTACAGCAGAGCTTTCAGCTGATGTGACACAGCCTTGAAGGAAAGGATTAATTAGGCTGCTTAATGATAGCTGTGATTAGGGGGATCTGAGATGTGGAACAGCAGGAGAGATTGCTTCTGTTGCAGTGGAAGGCAGCTATTTCTGCTACGTGCATGAAATAAACTGCCCAGTGTAATAAGCAAAACGTTAGCCCTAGGACAGCAAAGCGCTGTGGCTTACCCAAGCCGCTTGCCAATGATGGTCTGTAGGAATTTGCGGGCGGAAATCTGCCCCAGGAATTTCCGGTAGTTGTCGGTGAATATGGCGTCAGCATGGCGCTGCATCCTAGGGGTGAAAGACAAGCACAAGGTGTGCGCTCTGAGCTAGCAATGAACCTTCTAGATGACCCACAGAGGTCCCTTCCAACCCCTACTATTCTGTGATTCTGTGAGATATTGGTGTTTCAGATGTCAATGGGCACCAGATGTAGCACTGCTGAGATTGGGGGCAGGTAACCGTAACAAACACCTTTTGGTATTGGGCTGCGTTAGTGTTGGAGGGTGAAAGGATTTGAGGGCGCTCAGTCCTGACAGGGAGGCAGCAGGCAAAATAAAATGTCTGTTAATCAGTATCTGCACTACAACAAGTAAGGAAGAAGTGTCTGCAAGCCAAAGGTGAGGTCGGAGAACCAGTGGAAGAAAGAAGAAGCACAGGCTGGGAGAGGGCAGAGCTGGGGCTGGGATGTTCCTGTGCTCTGCAGCAGCACCATCACCTCCTGGGAGTGCTGTGTCTGGGATGGGGTGGCAGGAGCCTCCCACGAGGCTCTAGCCTGGGGTTGGACCCAGGCTCCCAAAAATCCACAGGTAAGGGAAGCACAAGCCACTTGGCTGGTCCCACTGTTGTAAGGATGAGTCCTCTGTGCTTCAGACAGAAATAACCATCCTCCTCCTCCTGGCAGTGGTGGGAAGGAGAGGCTCTGACAACCATACAGATGGATTCCCAGAGCTCAGTGGAAAATTATGTTCCCTGCAGGAGGGCTGGGTCTGCAGCCCTGTCCCTGTCAGTACGTCCCTGCTGCTGGGGGACAGCGGCACGTGGCTCTGGACATGGGCGATGGTGAAATCTGGCACAGTCCCAGCCTTCTGCTCTGGTTGCAGGGCCTGGCTGGGTTCTCCCCCTGGAGCCTGGACTTTGTGGTGCTGGTGGAACCAGGTGACCTGCTGGTCTGCTCCTGGGCTGCAGGAAGACCGTAACCAGTGGGGCTGAGAGGTGAGGTACAAACCTTTTCTCAGTGGGATCTGTTAACAAACCCTCCTCGTCCTGTTCCTCCACCAAGGGGTTATGGCTCTGCAGTGGGCTGCTGTGCTGTAGCTGGAAGTTCACAGCCTTGCCAGCAACTGGCCCTGGACTGTACCTGCACAACAAACCCGAGGCATACTGTGAGACATGCTCAGTCGCCAGTTGGGGATCAGTCCTACTGACCACTACTCCCTGTTCTGCAGGTTTTCCTTTCTCTTTTTGCCATCCCCGACTCATCAGTAGCACAAGTGTTGTCTGTCACTCTCCCCAGCTAGGAACTGCCCTGAAGCTATTTCAGCAGTGAAAAGATGGTTGATAGAGCTGCCTCAGACACGCTTCCCCCTCACTGAGCTCCCACCATCCTCAAGCAAAATTCCATCAATTCTGGTATCGTTATGCCGTGGCTTTGGCACAAGGCTAAAGCATTTTCTATGGGACATTACTAATCCAAATTATAGACCCCAGTGCTCAATTTTGTGCCTCCATCAATTTGTAGAGGTAGGAAATAATATTACAACTTAAAACAGTTGGCAAGGAAACATGTGAAATATTAACAGGCAGCCGTTAAGAATATCTGCAGTTCTGATTTCAATACAGGTGGCCTGCAGGCACAGATTTTAATCAGTGATGGAGCTGGAGGTGCTGGCTGCCCTGGAGATTGCCAGATTTCCCTTTATAGGACCCAGCATTCAATTCCAAAACCAACTGCTTGGGCTGAAATATTCTATGTCGGGTGCCTGCATTCTTTGGAAACCACCCCTAGGCTGGCAGTGTACCCCACAAATTAAGCCAGGGTAAAGAAGCAGGCTTACCAACGCACATACAATTCATCTGGCTTTCAGAAGTGCTGGCAACCTTAATTTGGCACGTGCTTATTTTGCACAAGGTCAGAGATGAGGCAGGGAGTGACAGCATGGATAAAACACTCAGCAGCCTACCTGAGAGCTGGGTCGAGAGGAGAGGAGATGGAGCATGCGACTAAATGCAGGAACAGGAGCAGGGTGGCCTTATCCAGCATCTTCCACCCTTTGGGGTCACCTGAAACACAGAGCAATCTTGAGTCAGTGGCAGTGAAGTGCTCAGGGCCAGGAGGGGAGGCCAAGTGTCACCTTTTGTGTTCTCAGTCCCCCTGCTTGGTCATCAGCACAAAGGGACTGGGAATATGCCTCCGTGCTTGTGGTTATGGTGCTTCCCAACACAGAGGTGTCTTGGCATGGCAACGTCTTGCCCAGGGAGTGTAGTTCCTGGAGGCAGTGGCTGTGTGTGACCCCTCAGGGAGCTGTTGTGGCCCTTGGGTCAGGACGCAGGCCTCATCAGCAGGGTTTCTTGCTGTGGGACCCCCTTATTGACCTGTCCCCCCGCTGTGGTTGAGGGAGAGTGCTTTGGCTGGGGTGGGCCCTGGAGACCACTGCCTGGGCTGTAAATACCAGTGTAAGAGCACCTGGATGCTGGAGGCAGCAGTTAGCAGGGGCTGCCAAAGGCAACTTCGCTGCCTGCACAGGACCACCTGCGACCAACCCCTGGGACCTCTCCTGCCCGCCGCTCTCCCTGGGACGCGTGTCTGCCCACGTGGCTGTATGGCACAGCTCCATGTGTAACAGCCAACTGGGCTGCCTTGCCGGCTGTCCAGAAATGGGGAAAAACCAGGGAAATCCACATAAAACACCTGGGCAGAGGGGTAGTATTGGCCCAGAGGTAACACTGGCAAACTCCTTTATCAAAGGCAGCAGTGCTGAGCTTGGTTAGCCAAACGAAACGCGGACTGTTCCTTCAGTCGTCGTGCTTGGGGTGAGGGGGACTGGACTGAGACACGTCCCTTCGGCAGAGCTTGAACTGCTGCTGCATCAGGAGGTGCCCACGCAGCTCTGAGCACTGGCTTTGGTGGAAGGCGAGATGGACTTGAGCCGTGCGTGCCTGCCCTCCGGCAGACGGCTGCGGTGCTTCGGTCCTGGGGCTGGCGCAGCTCTGCCAGTGACTCAGGACAGAGTCCTCTGAGGATGCACACCCTCGGGAGCTGAATGCGATGCCTTTGTCATCGGAAGCGAGGGACAGTAGGAAGGTATTTCAGTGAGTGCTATTCCTGAGTTTTGATTGAAAGCAATTGATCTTTTGCTCAAAAAAGATTCTTTAAGAATGTGGGTAGAAATCTTTAAAATATCAAGTTTCCCTGTTCCCTGTCTTATTTTACACAAGAAAAGAGCAGAAAGATGTTTGATCTCCAGATGAGAAAAAAACACTTGGCAAGGGATTTAAGTTTCTTCTTTTTTATAAAAAGCCCTTCGAATGTATAACAATACTTTGTTGCAAAAAGAGCAGTTTTCAAATGGAAGGGGTCGGCTGGGCTGCTAACTTTGCAAGCGGACGTTCGAAGCCATGGGTTTTACTGACGGTGGTGGCAGGAGGGGGCCTGTTCTGATGGGAAACATCAGCAGTGAGCTCTGTTTTACTGCTCGGAAATAGCTGCCCACTCTTCCGAAAGGAGCAAGGCTAATTAAGGACTGGTGCTCAGGCAAGTGGGTCCAGTCTTGATACCGCAGAAGTTACTAACAGAATGAGTGGCATTGCCAGAAGTGCGTGGACAGAGGTGTGTATGGGCAAGGTGGTGTGCTAAGAAATGAGGTTTCTTATCACAAACTCCTTCGCAGCCCAGTCTGCATTTCCAGCTGCTCGTGCTCGCAGCTGGAGGACCAGCAGCTTCCCCATCTGTTTCCCTGGGAGCAGCGCCGTTGCTCCTGGCTCCAGCAGAGCTTCTTGTGAACTCATGGGTGACATCCCCTACCTCTGATACTGGGTCTCTTACGGCACTGCTCTGGCCCCTCAGATAGGCCAGGAATGCTCAGAAGAAGCAAAAAAGTATCTGTGAGAGAGACTTGCAGGGCTCCTGGTTTTAGGGCAAATTTCCTACTCTTTTTGTTTTTCCTTCTTTTTCATTTGAACTTGAAAAAGCGTGCCTCTTTTGTGCCTCTCTCCCCTAAATATCTCCAAGACAAATCCCAAATCAGATCTCTTTCTAGATAAAAGTGATATAAAGCATCTGGTAGCTGGTACCAGCAGACTGTGGCACCAGCATCTGTAGAAAGTGCCAACCAGGAGATTTAATCAGTACCAGGAAAACTGCTATGTGAGCTGAGAAGTGAAAGATCCATGTAAATTAAAATAAAACCTAGTCCAATGCTGTCTGCTTCCCTATTCTTCCTAGGATACAGCCCTGATTACCGCTTTCTGTATCTGGTTTCTCTTCTTTGAATGCTGGGTTTTCCTCCAGAATCACTTTTTGTCCCTTTGAGATTTTTTTTTCTCTTCTCTGCTGTTAATTTCTTTGCAATATATTTTTTTTGTATTTTCTGATTTTGCCTTTCTTCCCCTGTCTTGCTTTGACTTCTCTTCCTTCACTACAGTCTGATTCTTGGGTATTTCTGTCTCCCTCTTTTTCTTGGGAAGGAGCCTGAAACAAAAGTCCTACACCCCTTCCCAGAAGCGTCTTCTATTTCAGAGGAGAAGCCAGGGAATTGAAGTGTCACCCTGCGTACAGGCAGCTTGACAGCTCTGCAAAACCTTGTCACCTTCGAAATTCTCCTGAGGTGAGGGACATCTTACTTTCCGTTCTGGCAGCATGTGAAAAAATGATTAATAAATAAATTCCCCTGAAGATGAAGAGCTTTTAGCGCCGTTCCAGCAGATAAAGCATAATAGCTTCATTCCATCCTGTGCCACGCTAACAGCAGCATTGTGACAATGACGCTGGAGAAACGGGGCAACTGGCTCTTACTGTTTCTGAAACCTTAAACTGAGCAATCTTAAAACTACCACAATGTAGATGAAACGAAGCTTCTACCGTGCCTGCGGTTTTGTGAAGTTCAGACTTTTATACTATGAAATACTACATTTGAAAAGCAGAAATCCTTTTAATTGCCTTACTCTGCTTCGCTGTAGCTGGCTTCGTGTTATCCATAATACGCCGTTGCATTTCTCCTCACGCTTTGGTTTGGCTCAAACACAGTGTTATTGATGGGTGAGTAAAAGCGTGTTCATTTTCCAGGGTAAAAGGAATTTACATTAGTATAGCAAAAGAGGAAAATTGCTACAGCTGGTAAACGTCTAACATGTTTTTATAAGGCTCATCTGTATTGTAATGCTGTTGGTTGGCATTTATCCGATAGTTCAATTATTCTTTCATTCTAGAACTTGGTACAAAAAAATCCTGTACGGTACAAAGGATATTGTACCTGGCAAAGCTAATTACTGATGCCAGCTTTGATTGCATTTCAGTGTAATTTAATTGTCTCCAATCTCCAAATAGACATTACCTCGTTAAATGCACATACAGAGACTCACACTTACCGTTCCCTCGGAAAGCCAGCGCTTCCTAGATCGGCTCCTGCCCAGGTGTTTGCTTCCCCTGCTGCGAATACAACTTCTTCTCTGGAGCTGCCTTGGGAAGCCCTGCGGGGTCCGTTATGGTGCCCGGGCAGGGGCCGGAGGCGTGCGGAGCAGGGAGGACACGCGGGTCTCCCCGGCTGTCTCTGGCTGCCGGGGAGGTGCGTTTCCTCTTTTTATACCTGTGCTCCCTCAGGAGTCCCGTGGGCTTCTACGCGTCAGAGAATCAATTATCCTCCTGAATTTCAAAGGCTGCTTTTAGCATCCTCTCTTTTTGTGCGTGCAAGGACGCAGGCAGGGAGGTTGCGGGGAGAGGGTTATGCCTGTAGTCGAGGGTCGTTTGCATGCTTTCTCTTTATCGTTCAAAGAGTGAAGAGCAAATAATAACAACGATAATCTGGCAGAGCGAATGACAAATTTGCTTTGTAAGGTTAACTTCTGTTTCCCTTTGCAATTGCATTTTTTTCTTCTACTCCACAGTGAGAGTGAGTTAACCATTAAGACTTTCGCACACTGCCTGCTCAGGAGGTTTTATCTTTTTGCTATTTTGTGTTTCTTTGATTATCAGCCTTTTCCTCCTTTGTTACTCACATCTGCTAGCGTTAGCGGGGCAGTTCATGCTTCAGTCCCTCACAAACATCACAGCTTCGCATCGAGCACACAAAGCAGCTAGAGAGCCCTGCTCCGTTCGCGTGCTCTGGAAAAAGGCAAGGGTCTTCTCTGGGGTGCTGCATGCGCTGGCAGCTGTTTTCATTCCTGGAACAAGGTTTATGAAAGCCCCATTAAAGAGCACATAGCCTTGGTGCCAAGAAGACCAGGACAGTTCAGAGCAGTTAAAAATGAGGTGCCAGCATGAGCTCCACCTGCGAGATTTTGCGTATTGACTTTATAGTGTCCAGAATTGATGGGGACCCAGACCTTTGTGTCTTGGGGCTTGCGTGACTCGATGCTGGGAAGAAGTTTCAGCAGGTGAGATGACTCATATCTGCCTGCTGCTGAATACCTTCACCTTGCACAGAGCGCTCGTCGCAGCTGTCGGTGGCAGAGATAGATTGCAAGGAAGGACGGTGCATCTGGTGCACACATGGGTGCCTGCATGTGCAGGGGGTCAAAAGCATTCAGCACTGGTCTAACTCTGCTGTTGCCCCTTTGCTACTTGCTGAGATGCGAAATCAGCACTGTGATTATGGGTCACTTCTTCGTGAAGCAATATCTTCCTTCCGAACCATGGGCTCTCAGTAAGCAGTAACTCAACAGTTGGAAAGGCTTGAGAGAGCTCAGCACGCCAAATGACTCTGTGGAGTTAAATAAGTTGCTTTGTACTTAGACAGACGTGCACCAACACCTCTGGGTTCTCCCCGCTCGGAGGGCTCCAATGGCTCACGTTCCCTTTGATATCAAATCAGGACCAGGCCACTTCGCAGAGAAATCATGAAAAAGGATTGAACGGACCAAAGCAGGAGCTCGAGGTGACCCTGAACTGAGCGGCTGACCAGGGCCCTTCTAGTGGAACAGGGAAACAGAACAACAGCGTGAAGAGAAGCAAGAACTACTGCCTTCTGCCAGTTGTAAAAAGAAATGGCACCAGCCTGTTCGTGGAGAGAGGATCTGCCATGCAAATCAGGCAGGTATATCATTTGT